CTGCGTTTGTCTGCTCTTAGCTAGGTGACCTTGAGAAATGCCAGCTCACTGCTCTGAAACTCTGTCTCACCACTTGTAGTTGGGGAAGGTGATCAGCCTTCACTTCAGGTTTATGGTAAAAACGCGTGGAGTCTGTGGTATCCCTTTTCAACAGGGAGTTCTAGGAGGAATATTGTATATAAATGGACGTCTCCCTCTGGGGGCTCAGGTGGGCCTCTGAGCTTCCCCTCCCTCCAGCCCAGCTCTAGTGTTAAAGGAAGGAAAAGAACTCAAGTGGTCTGGCTGCTTCTGCTGGGCCAGCTCTGGCCAGTGCTCAGGGCCCTGCCCTCGACAGAGATACTACACAGGGGCGTCCAACGTGCAGCCCGCAGGCCGCATGCAGCCCAGGATGGCTATGAATGCGGCCCAACATTCAATCGCAAGTTTACTTAGAACATTATGAGGTTTTATTGTGATTACATATCGAAGTGTATTTAATGTGTGGCCCAAGACAACTCTTCTTCCAGTGTGGCCCAGAGGCGCCAAAATGTTGGACACACCTGCACTATAGGCAGGATGTATAGGATGTATAGGGAGTCGGGCCTAATACTCCATAGCTGTCAGTTCCCCTTTCTGGGTCTGTTTTTGCGTCTGAAAAATGGAAGGATTGGGAGTGGAACATTCTGTCATGCCTGGCTGGGGAGCACTTCGTGTCGGCAGCTCCCTAGTCTTTGTACCTAAAGAGTTCGGTTCAGCGAATTTGGGGTGGGGCTCAGGCTGTCCTTTTAACAGGACCCCCAGGAGACGCAGCTGCACAGCCAGGTGTGGATAGTTCTCCCTGCTGAGGGAGCTCTGGCCCTGTCTGTGCCCCTTCTCACAGAGAACCAACCAAGAAGGCCCTGAAAAGCTGTTTACTGAGCACTTATTATGTTCCGGGCCCTGTGTTTGATACGTCCCTTGTGCTCTCTCATTCCCCCTGCTCTTATTTTGCCCTCACAATGCCCCCATGAGCTGGAGTTACCACCATTTTCCAGAAGAGGACACTGAGGTTCAGGGAGGCTCAAGATCTTACCATGGGCAGGTGGTGGGAGTGGGTTTCACAATTGCATGAGCCTGGCTGGAGGAGCCACACGGCCTCCAATGCCTTGTCACCCCTAGAAGACACAGACGCGCCTGCACCAAAGCCCAATCACTCAGGATTTTACTGCCCGACCCCGCCTTGCCCCACCCTCCCCAGCACGCAGTCGCATCTGGGTGGCCATGGGCAGCAGGCGGGTGGCGGAGTGCCACCTGGTGGTGGTTTGGGAAGCTCCCGTTTCACTAGATGAGCTTGTCAGGAGGGATGTGGTCGCCCTGGCAGAGCGGAAGAGGTGCCTCTCAGGCGTCAGGGGGAAGGTCATGAAGCGCCTGGGTAAGGGGCACCTGGACTGAGTGGGGAGTGACTGCAGCATCTGGAACATCACAGCAAACGACGAAGCTCCTCTAACTTTCGAAGCCACTGACATGGATCTGCAACTCCTCCGTGACCCAAGGGAAGGTCTGATTCATCCATTTTCCACAGAGATGAGCTAGGGCTCCCAGCAGCCCGGCAGCTCGCCCGCGTGCCTCAAAAGCTCAGGGAAGAGGCACTCCTAAGCCTTTCATCACACTGGCTTGAGATTCAGCGTTGGTGGTGACAATGGAGGTCACGGTGGTCATGTGGCAGCAGCTACTATTCAGTGCATTTGTAGCACAACAACTCTATTGGGTAACTACAGTGACTACCCCCACTGACAGGAGAGGAAACTGAGGCTCAAAGAAATGGATGAACTTACCTGAAGGTGACTCAGCTTCTGGGTGGTAGAATAGGGATGGAAACCTTAGCAATGTGACTCCAGAGTCCACGCTCTTAGCCACGGTCCCTTCTGCCGGCTGAAGAAGCCCCTTTGCCAAGATGTGAGCAAAATAGACACTTGACTCTAGCTCAGCTCATGCCATTCACCCTCGTGAGCTGGACTGGGAAATGCCTCCGCCAGCCAGGGATGCCCACGGCACGTTACTCGCAGAGACTCGCTCTGCTGGGTGACTTGAAATGAATGTCTCTCCCTCTCTGAGCCTTGGTTGCCATACCTGTAAAATACAGACTTTAAACTAGGTGAGCTCTGAGATCCTGCCCTTCCATGAGTCTGTGAATCTGTACCAAGACCAACTTAAGAATTTTTTCCCTGCCAATAATTTGAATTTGTTAACTTTTGTTTTTGTTATTAAGATTTTATTTATTTTAGAGAGGTGGGAAGGAAGGGAGAGAGGGAGAAAAACATCAATGTGTGAGACAGACATCGATCTGTTGCCTCTCACATACCCCCAAGTGAGGACCTGACCCACAACCCAGGTATGTGCCCTGACAGGGAATCCAACCGGTACCCTTTCAGCTCACAGGCTGGTGCTCAATCCACTGAGCCACATGAGCCAGGGCTGGATTTGTTCTTGAATCAGTTTCCAAAACTAAAAACAATGTCTTTCTCTTTCTCTTTCTCTGTCTCTCAATTTTTAGCTCAATTATGGTTAACTTGCTGTTACTTAGAGACTTATTATCCAAGCTCATTATGAATAATTATTCAGTCTGGAGGGGAAACAGCATTGCTGCTAGTTTAATTTAATGCTTACCTAGTTCACTTAATTAGCAATAAGTCTTGGCAAAATGATAGAAGTCATGGGGTCCTGGCTTTGTGTGCCGCAGTTGACAGAGGGGGTAGAAGCTCAAAGCTGTTCTTGGAAAGATAAACAAGTTTCAGGGCAGAATGTTGGAGGAGGCAAGGAGTGAACTGTGAGTGGTCACGCTGTGCCCTCTGTCCAGGCCGAGGCTGGCCGCTCAGAGCAAAAGGCTGTAGACTACGCAGGCTGCAAGGACCTTGGGTCAAATAGCACTTACTAAGCACCTGCTGTGTACACAGACCCTTACTACGCTCTATGTGTGGGACTTGTATATTCAAGGTAATTTAGAGAATTCAAGTCTCAAAGTTACTACCATGGTTGCTTATCCGCAGTTCCACTTTCCGCAGTTTTGGTTACCCTGTGGTCAACCACCGTCTGAAAATAGTACATGGAAAATTCCAGTAATAAACCATTCATGGTTTAAATTGCGGGCTATTCTGAGTAGCGTGATAAAATCTCGCGAGTCCCACCGGCTCCCGCCCGGGACGCATCCAGCATCAGGGCGCTATAGACCCTGCGCAGCCAGCAGTAGTCGTTTGGGGCATCAGATCGGCTGTCTTGGTATCTCAGTGCTTATGTCTAGTAACCCTTATTTTGCATAATAATGACCCCGAAGCACAAGAGTAGTGATGCTGGCAGTTCGGGTATGCCACAGAGAAGCTGTCGAGTGCTGGTTACGTATAGTCAGGAGGTCTCTCGGCCCCTAACGGTCACACCCTTCACCATTCACTGATCTTGTCACGACGGAGTAATGTCGTCTCACGTCACTACGAGAAGGGTGAGTACAGTCCACTATAGATAATTTGAAAGCGATGACATTCACATAACTTTCATTTCAGTATATTGTTATAATTCTATTGTATTATTAGCAATCTCTTACAGTCCCTAATTAAACTTTATAAATTAAACTTTACCATACAAATGTATGTACAGGAAAAAACAGCATATATAGAATTTGATACGATCTGGTTTCAGAAATCCCCTGGGGGAGGTCTCAGAACATACTCCCTGTGGATAAGGGGGACAACTGTAATTTTTCACAGCAGTCTTCCAGTAATTTTCATTAGTCAAGAAGAAAGTTCCCCATTTGATACTACTGCAAGTTTACATCTCAGCGTTTTCATAAAGGGAGGCCTCAGGCTCAGGGCTTTGGGCAGGGGCAACAGAATTGAGCTTGAAGTCCACATGGTTCAGTTTCAGCTTTGTTAATAGTTTTATTTATGGAGCATAATGTTGGCTTCTCACGTTTAGAAGTGATGGAAAGTCTTCCTTGCAGTAAAAATAAGCAAACTGTCATTCAAAACAGTGTGGGGTTAGAAAGGAGTCAAGGTGGTACCTGAATGTGGCCACTCCCAGGAGATGGGAGAGGTAAGAAGGCCCGTTCAGTGCCCTGGCGTAAGGACTATCTAGCCAGGGCCCGCCTCCCTTTCCTACCCCCCAAGCCCTGGGCAGGCCCAGTAACTAGGTAGGGGCGTCTGCCAAAGCCAAACGCTGCCTCGGAAGCCTTCCTGACCAGGGCCCCGGGCACCCACCAGGACATCCAAGTGACCCTCTGACCACCTTTCCCAGCCCACCACAGCCTCTCTCAGCTTCTCCCAGGCCCCTGCCCAAGCTACTAGTCCACACCATGACTCCCCAGTCCCCTCCTGTCATTCTCATTGTCCCTTTGCTACCTTATGGACTGTCATTTTTCCTCAACCCTTCATTGGCCCCCCTGGCACTCCTTGGTACCAGTAGGTAAACTGAGGCCCAAAGGAATGACCCGACAGGAAAGTAGCAGCAGAGCCAGGGACATGCTGGACCACCCACCCAGCTAAGCCCCAGGTGTCCGTCCAGTGTCTGCGCAGCCTTGGAGGCCTTTCTTGGAAAAGCCATTCCTACCCCCTCCCCCGCCCCACGCACCAATTCTGCTATGCTTGTCCTGTGGCCCATCTCAGAGTCACTGTGTCACCCCTCCCGGGTGACATTGGTCTCTTTAAAGGATTAAGTCCGCCCACACCGTGGTGGGTGGCAGAGTGGGGTGGGGGGTCTACGGAAGTGTGTCCATGGTGCTTCTTGAGCCACTGCCTTTGGCTTTTTGCAGGGGCCCAGGGTATTCAGTCCACATTCAAGACCCCCTTTGCCATGACATGGATCCCACAGGGACCTCAGGACAAGGGCTTGGCCTGTCTGACCATCTTCAAGGGTTTCCCATCCCACTCCAGCCAGAAGCTACGCCCACGGCATCAGAAAACAAAGACAAAGAGGTTCTGAAGTGAGCAGAAGGCCTGTTCTTGGGCCAGCTTTATTGGTGGCTTTGTGAGCGCCTCGGAGCCCCGCCTGGCTGCTCAGGCCAGCCTCTTATACACGCGCTCGTAGGTCACGTCTCCGATGGTGGAGATCTGAAAGAAGCAGCCAGAACACAGGGAATCAGTGCTGGGACCCCGGGGGGTCATGGGGCACAGCTGGCGGAAGACCGGCCTCCGATCCTAGCCCCGAGTAGAAACGAACCAGTTGCACCCCTTCTCTGGGCCTCAGTTTCCCAATTTCTGACACAAATCACTGCACAGACTCCGTATAGCGAAAGTGCTAAGCAGATGACTCTTTACACGGTAACTTCCCCCCGTCTGTTCACTGCAGTCCACCAGGCCAGGCCCTTCCCGGGCATTATCCCATTGAATCCTCCCAACAACACTGTGAGGTTGTCCCCATGGTACAGATGAGAAAACTGAAGTGTAGAGAAGTCAACCCATCTAAGGTCAAAGGACACGCTCAACCTCTGCACCATTTGGAATTGGGGGCAGGTGTGCTTAGTGATGGGCAGATGTGGCTGCTGCCCTCGGGGAGCATAAGTTTTTCGGGGAAAGGCTGACAAGAGGATGCTGTTCAGTGAAGGCCCCTGTGCGCAGGGCCCCGGGCTCGAGGCCACGGAGACAAGCTGTCATAGCGTGTGCACGTGTCATCCGTTGGTCCTTACGTCTGGCCGAGGAAAGCAGCAAGCTTTTCCTTTTAACTTCACCTCCGAGTCTTTCCCGCTGGGGAAACACCTGGAGCCCTGGGTTTGGGGGTGGCATGGTAGAAATGGAAGTGAGGTGAAGAGCCCCCCGAGACAGCACCCCCGACCTGTGTTTACAGAGCACGGAGTGTGGGAGGGGTCAGTCCACAGGTGTGTGTGTTGGCCCAGCCGGGATTTTTAAAAACATTTAACAACCTGGAGGTTTTACAAAGAAGTGCAGATTTCCAGCCTCTCTTGAAAAATCAGAAGACCTAGCAGGAAGGGCTGAAGCCTCATGGTGGAGCAGAGTGTTGGCTGCCCTGGCTGGGGTCACCTGGACTTCCCCTTCACCGGCACTCTGGAAAGCGCCCCGTGGGTTTTCCAGACTTGGGCCTCCGGGGCTCAAGCGTGGGCTCAAGAGTCACAGATCCCATCTCTGCTATAAAAGCTACGTGCCCCCCCAGCTAACCACTGAGCCTCCCCATGCCTCAGTCTCCTCATCTGTAAACTAGAGATAAAAGTCCCTACCCGTTCAGGGTTATCGTGAATTTCGATGAGAGCACATGGCCTGCCACACAGGAAGTTCTTACAAAACCAGCTGCCCAGAAGCCTGCCTCTCCGGGGCCCTGGCTGTGGGCAGAAAAGCACTTCCGGGCCTGCCAGGAGCCAGCAGGACACTCACCTCCACCAGCTTGTCACCCGCGATCTCCGAAGTCTGGTGATAGTTGGGGAAATCCACCACCAGCTTCCCACCCTCCATCTGCACCGTGGCCTGGAAGGGAAGCATAGCCCTGAGTGTGAGTCGGCAGAGGCCGCCAAATGCACGCCAGCCCCTCTGGGACGAAGGACCTGCCTGCCGCCCCAGCGATCCTCTCTAGGAATTAATTTGCCTTGTAGGTGTACGGTTACATAAACCAGACACAGATCACCTGCACGAGTCACTCAGCTTTGCTGTGCCTTCCTTGTGCATCACTAAAATGGGGGTAGTAACTATACCTGCTTCATAGAGTTATCATGAGGATTAAGTAATTAAATATGACACATGTAAAGTGCTTAGAACTGCCAGGCATGTGGTGAGCCTCCTTATTAATTGCGGGGTTAGACGTGACCATTGTTGTTAGGATGATGGTGATGTTGTCTGAGGGTGTTGATTGCAGCATTGCTTGTCATTGTAAATAACCTAAAAATCCAACCTAGGCTATCAATGAGGGGATGTTAAATAGATAACAGCATTTCCAGCGACTGCTCACCTTGAACTTCTTGCCCCCCATGGTCTCCATGTCGCACTCCTTGCCAATGGTGAACTTGTTGGTCATGGAGTGGCCCCCGGGGTAGTGCTGGGACCAGGTGAAGTTCTGCCCATCCTGCTGGACCTCCGTGACGATCTTGAAGTTACGGCCCTTTTCAATTGCTTCGCTGGGGAGCCCTGGCCCGGGGGACAAGCAGAAGGGCTATGTAAAAGCTGTTTACACCTATGGTTTTGGAAAAGAGCTCGCCTGCTCTGGGGCAAGCTACCCTGACAATTAACAGCACACATTTCAGTTCTACCATGATTTATGCGGCTTGGGCAAATACTTCTCCCAGCCTCAGTGCTTCCATCTGCAATATGGGGTCGTGAGGCCCACTTCACAGGGCTGGTGCAACAAATAAAGTGTGTCTTGTAAAGCTCCTGCTGTGTAGTTGACAATAAATAATCGTTGTTCTTATGGTAACATAATAGAAACTTGCCAAGCTCACAAAGTTCCTGAATGAGGGGGACCTTCACGATCATCTTCTATGGCTCTTATTTCATGGATTCAGAAATGAAGACCCGCAGCAGGAAAGAGGGCTCCCCGTACCTCAGTGGGAGCTCTGGGCAGCGCCAGCCAGGTCTAGAACTGAGACTGGCTCACTCGTAATTCCACACCAGACTGTTGCGGGGAAGGCTAAGTCACTGTTACTTCAGGGCCAATCCCAATAATTGACCTGGAAGGGCTTTGGCCTCCCCAAGGTCCCAGGGCACACAAGCATGGCTCTTGGGGCCTCTCTGCCACCAGGATGAGGGCACCGGTCCCTGGGGCTGTCCTCAGACTCCTGACAATTGCACTGCCTCAGACTTAGATGCAGGACGGCCCATCCTGGCCATCTCATTGGTTCCCCACAAGCAGTGTTGCAAACCTAGCAGTGGGAGGTGTGAGTCTTTGATCTCTCCGCCCACACAGCCTTTGTTTGTTGAATGATTGAATGAGTATGTAGCTTGTCAAAACTAGTCTATGCTCACTCCTTAGTCACCTGTTGTAAGGCAGGATGTGGCGATACCACTCATTTCATCATAGAGCCTTGGGTTCTAATATCCTCTATAGCAAGAGCTGAGATGCCCCCTCAGTAACAGTAGGTTGGCTCTTACATATAGTAGACGTTCAATAAACATTTGAATGAGTACAGCAATTTAGTCTCTACTTCATCAATTTCTAGCTGTGTGGCCTTGGACTAGTAATTCAACCTCTCTGGGCCTCAAGTTTTTGCTCAGTAAATTGGATATTCTTATATTCCCTAAGTGTTTTAAAGTCAGAGTCTTTATGGTTCCTATTAGCCTAAGAGCCTGGGACAGAGAAGTGCTCAACAAATGAGAAAGTGAATGAATGAATAAATGAAGTCCCATCCCACTTTACCCCAGGAATTTGGGTTCCTGGACCAGGGCTGGTTTCTGCAGACCATCCCAGGCAAGGCATCCTTAGGACCCCACTCACCAAGGCGCTTCATGAACTCGTCATAGTTCTTCTCACTCTCCATCTCGTACTTGCCGTTGAAGGCCATGCTGCCGGGAGACCTGGAGGCCAGGGAGCAAGGAGATGAGGAGAAAGGTTCGTGGTGCGGAAGGGCCTGGCGCCCCAGCTTATAAACCCTCCCAGATGCTGAGGCTCAGCCCCCTATGTCACCCCACTTGTCCCTCCTGCCCCTGAAAAGGAAGTACTTGATGTTTTATGATGTGGGAAGGGCCTGGAGGAGAAGGGCCCCAAGGTCATTCACCCAGGCAAGTGCTGGCTGCAGCCCCGTCGCCTTTCCCAGCAGGGCCAGGGCCGGCGCTGCTGCAGGGCCTGTGGGGTCATCCGCTCGGCCCGTCCGTCCCTCCGTTCATCCATGTCTCCCCTTCATCCATGCTCGTCCCCTCTCGCTTACTCTTTCACTCCCGCATTCACCAACCGAAGTGCATGAGGCACGTCCTGCGTGGGGCACCGAGGAAACACTGAGTGAGACATACCTCCTTCCCAAGAGAGCTTCCAGGCTGGGCCAGAGACAAAACGGACAACTGCAAAGAGCTCTCGTGCAAGCACGGTGTGCACTGTGTCCAGAGAGAAATGCAGGGGTGTGGCCTGGGGCCTGGGGAAGGAGCGACCCTGCACAGGTGGCTGCTATGTCTTTGTGTAGAAGGCATTTGATACAGGTCTTGAAGGAACAGTGGGATTTGGATGTCAGGACAAGCAGGCAGATTGGAGAAGGCCAATGTAGGGAAATGATATATGAGGGTAGGGGAAAAGTGTGACGGAGGTGCAAAGGGCCAGGATGAAAGGAAACAATGAGTTTGGCTGCAGCAAAGAGCCCTTGAAGAAGAATAGGCACAAGAAGGATGCAGAGAAGAATGCCAGCAGCGTGAAGCAGCAGCCCCGGGAGCCACCCCGGAGGAGGAGGTGCCAGGGTGTGCGAAGACCCGCTATGGGACAGGCATGGGCTAGGGCCTTGAAGAACTTTTTTCGAGTTTCACAGCTGGAAGGGCTAGGAACTTAGACCCCTGACTTCGGGTTCCTGTTGTGTCATCTGGCGACTCCATCACCGCCGCGACAACTCCTGCCCCGCCTGTGTGGTGGGACTGTCCTCTGGACCCAGCTGGTTGATGAGGCAAAGCATGAAGCCCTCTGCAAAGGCCCGCATCCTTCTTCTTATTCATTAAGATCTGGCAGGTCTCTCTCTTCTCGCAGAGTCAGCTCTCCATGAACCCCCATGAATTCGCCACAGTTGCTGACCCCCAGCGCTGGGACTCACTGGCCTCTAAGCTGATGACACCAACTTGGCCGCATTTTACCAGCCTTCACTCTCCAGTCTTGGAATTTCTTATCCCAGCCAGGAGTCTTGTTTAAAAAGAAAAAAAACATAAACACACATTAAACCACTGCTAACATACACACACGCACATCATCATCATCATCATCATGGATTTTCTGATGCTAAATTATATTTATTAAAATTTCATAATTCAGAGCAACTGGAAGTCCCAGCAGAGACAGTCCTTGATAACAGTTTGGTATCAACCCTTCTAGACTTTTAAATGTATACATACACTTTCTTATGTAAATGAATTATATTGTCCTATAACCCCTTTTTATGTAATGATATAGATCATGCCTATATCATTACAAAAGGTATATCATATCCTTCTTCATAGCTCCAGAGTATTTTTATTGTCTGTATGTTTTATAACTTATATAGCTATTTCTGGATGTTTAGGTTGTTTCCCATCTTTTCCTATTATAAATAACTCTGAGATAAACATTTACATGTGCACCTCTTGGTGTACATGTCAGATTATTTACTAAGATTATTTGCTGAGGATGAATTCCTAGATATGAGGTTCCTGGAACAAAGGTTTTTATAAATAAAATATTGATATCGATGACTCTACTGCCTTTCTGAAAGGTGTTAACAGTTTACATTCCCTCCTAGAGCACATGAGTATTTCCCCTCATTGAAAACAATGATGCAATAACAATGACAATAATTGCTAACATTTAGTGTTTAGTATGTGTTGGGCATGGTGCTGAGTGTTTTATGTGAATTACTTCACTTAATCTTCAAAACAACTCTATGAAGTAGGTACAGTTATTGTCCCTATTTTGCCAAGGAGGAAACTGAGGTTCAGAGAATTGAAGGAACTTGCCCAAAGTCACAGAGTCCCTGTATATAGTTCATATTTACTACCAAAACAAATTTTCAATATCACTTAAGGACATTTCCAAAAATTCCCCATGGTCCCATTACCCTAACACTGTAACTTTTAATTTTTCTGTTTTCTTCCTCCCTCTTTCACTCTTTTCTTTCTCTCTCATCCTTGCTTTCTCAGTGACTCTAATTAGAAAAGATATATAATAGCTATAATCTCCATGCAAATGTAATATTTCATTCTATTTTTCTTTGCCCAGAATTACTTTGTAAACACAGTCCCATGGTTCTGAAAAGATGCCATGTTGATTGTTAGAAATGGCTACATAATGTTTGCTGTTGGACTTTTAGGGGGATCCCAGCTTACCTCATTAAATTCCAGGCCACAGTGAGCTTTTTCATATGGAGAGGATTTTTTTTTTTTTAAGCATTTCATTGAGCTAAAGCCCCAGGTTGGGATTACAAAGTTACAGGATCTGGAACATTCATAGAGCTCTTAATATGTTTTGTCATGTTGGGACTAAATTGGTTTATACCCAGCTCACCTGGGTGCTAAATGTCTTGGGACACAAAGTTTAAAACATCTTAGTACTTTCCCCAAACATTCTGCCAGCAACATCGCAGACTGTGCCATCTTAAGAAGTGACACCTTTTTTTTTTTTTTTTTTTTTTATTAAATAACCTTTATGGAGGAAAGGGTTTTAAGTTTTCTGATTATAATAGTAATAGATGTTCATAGCAGGAAATTTGGGAGAAAGCAAAACACAAACTAAAGGATACCTGTAATCCCACGATAGGGTCTTGTTTTCAAATTGTGAAATGAATACATACTCAATTTTTAAAAAGACAAGAGCTGAAAATAGGATAAAGTGAAGGTGAACGGCCCACATTCCACTACATCTCATTTTCCAGCTGCTGTTAAATTGAGTACATAACCTTTTAGATATTTCCCACATGCACACAAACATATTTGTGCTTATCTTTTTTTCTGTTCTTTTTAACAAAACTGAAACCCAAAGATATTATTTTGTCTTGACTCCCCACGCCTAATTTGCAGTTTATTTTAAACATTATGGATCTTCTTTCTCCCTGGAAACTGATAACCATTCCATTCATTATTAAAAGGGACTTTCCAAATGGAGGAGTCCACTACCAGCATACATTGTGCTACCCCAGTCTAGTCAGGGGAAGCAATAGAGCATCTGCCGCTTTCCTGTAAACCGTGGAAGAAAATAATTTCCCAGATGTGGTTGGCTCTACGTGAGACCTAAGGTGACAATCGGTGGATAATCTAGAGAGGTTTAGGGGGTGGGGTGCAGTCTCCTGAAATCCCCGGGGGTCTCTAGTCTTGGAGGAAGTATGCACTTGGTAGAATCCTACCTTTGTGCTTTGGCCTGTCTGGAAGGACTGCTCACCTTTCACCTGTCTTTCTAAATTTTAATTGTCCTTACAAATACACCCCCTCTTGAGAGCCTTCCATGATTATTCTAGCCTGTAGATTGTTCCTAACAGGAATCCCCCCAGTGTGTACATTCTCCTTGTCATGGCTCAGGGGGACACCTGGGCTTTAAGAGTCTCCTCTATTAATCTTCATGTGTGAGCTTGGAGACTTCAGACTCACAACCATTCATTTATTCAGCAAATGTTACCTGAGCACCTACTGTGCAGGAGACAGATACTATCTGTCCTCAGGGCTTGTGGAGGACCCAGCCTAGTAAACAGGTGAAGAGAACATGGTGTCATAAATGAGAGAAAGGCCATGATGATGCGGGAAGAGACATCACCCTGACCAGCACTTCCTAAGGGTCAGGGAAGGCTGACCTGACAGAAATGGACAAACAAGCCAAAGCCTTAATTGACTCATTATTAGGTGGGGGTAAAAAAACTGTCATCCAGAGTTTTCATGAGATAAATGAGGGTCAAACAAGAGTATATAAACAAGGGGCTTAGCCTCGGATCTAGGATGTCATAGACGCTCAGTGAATGACACAGTTATTCTTGCTCATTGGCAGTTTGTCCAGCCTATCTACCCATTTCTTTGAATTACAATTGATTGTAGCATTAATTTACCTCCTCGCAAAGTGTGTCTTTTATCTCCCAATTAGAATGTAATGCCTCCTAGGAGAGAAGCTGCATTTCATACTTCATTATAGGGGTGTGCCCGGCAGGCACGGGAGTACTGTTGATTTTGGACTTTTTGTTCAGGTCAGTCCGGAATAGACTATGGGGCAGTAGTCTCCAAAGTGTGCTCTTCCTCATACACCACGGAGGGTGCAGGAGGGGAAGGCTTGTGAAAAATGGAAATCCCTGGGCCCTGGTCCAGAAACTGATTAGGTAGGTCTGGGCGGGGCCCTGGAACCTGCATTTGACAGGTTCCCCAGGGGGTATGATGCACAGTCACCTTGAGCAGCTCCAGCCAGGGCACTTAGCAAGAGCTGGCCGGGTAGACCAGATGGCCTCTCCAGGCCCCCGTGTACCAGTGTTTTCTTTGACTTTCTTTTGCACAGCCAGGAAAATGTTCTCCTTAGTAGCGACTCATCCGAGGTCAGAGTCAACAGCAGATGGGAGTGGTGGGGGTGTGGAAAGGACAACGTTGGCACCAGAACCCCTGAGTCAGCGCCACTCCCTCCACGAGAGCCTGTGTGCGCGCCTGTCCCCCAGCCCTTGTCTTCCCCACACCCAGTCTCTCCTCTTCAGCTGGGGTTCACCTGTTAATGCAGGTGCTCATCGAGAGCCTTCCACGAGGGGCAAATGAACTCCCAGGGAGGTTTTACGGAGCAATTGAACCAACAGAGCAACTATACCCCAATGGAGATGAAGAAGGGCCCCCAGATGAGGCCCCTCTGGACCACCCACCTCCCACCTGGGCTCTAGCTCCTGCCTCAAGTCAGCCACCCTCATTCTGAGAGTAACTAGCGAAGCGGGTGG